GTGGGGGAGGGAGGGAGGATGTGTGGGAGGGAGGATGTGGGGAGGGGGGGAGGATGTGTGGAGGGAGGGAGGATGTGTGGAAGGGAGGATGTGTGGGGGGGGGGGAGTATTGTGGGAGGGGGGAAATGTGTGGGAGGGGGGGAGGTTTGGGGGAGGGAGGATGTGTGGGAGGGAGGATGTGGGGGAGGGGGAAGGATATGTGGGAGGAAGGGAAGATGTGTGGGAGGGAGGGGGTATGTGGGGGAGGGGGGGAGGATATGTGGGGGGGGGGAGGATATGTGGGAGGGAGGGAGGTAGTGGGAGGGAGGGAGGAATGTGGGAGGGGGGAGGATATGTGGGAGGGGGGAGGATTGTGGGGGGAGGGGGATATGTGGGAGGGGGAGAGGATATGTGGGAGGGGGGGGAAATGGGGGAGGGGGAGGGAGGATATGTGGGGAGGGAGGGGGTATGTGGGACGGGGGGGGATATGTGGGAGGGAGGGAGACAAACAGACGACAGAGAGAAATAGAGGAAAGAGGAGAGAGAGAGGGAGACAGAGAGAGGGAGTGAGACAAAGGGAGGAAGTGAGGGCGAGGAAGAGAGAGAGAGAGAGAGAGGAGAGAGAGAGAGAGAGAGAGAGAGAGAGAGAGAGAGAGGAGAGAGAGAGAGGAGAGAGAGAGAGAGAGAGAGAGAGAGAGGTTCAGAGAGAGATTATCCATTGTTAAATTAAATAAGTAATAATAAATAGAAAAGACACTTAATAACGTGAGAAAGAGAACTTGATGGTGACCAATATCGTGTCAAGTAAGAAAGTGTGAAAGAAGAGAAAGTGAAAAAGTTGCTAGAGAAAGAAGCGGTATGATTAATTGGTAAAAATGAGTAATAAAAACAGTTGAGATACTAATCGAGAAGTGAGAGAAAACAAGAAGATGAAATTAAAAGCGACCAAGAAAAATCACGAATGGGAAAGCGAGAGAGGAAGAAAGAGAGAGAGAGAGAGAGAGAGAGAGAGAGACAGAGAGAGATGAGAGAGAGAGAGAGAGAGAGGAGAGAGAGAGAGAGGAGAGAGGAGAGAGAGAGAGGAGAGAGAGAATGACGAGAGAGAGAGAGAGAGAGAGAGAGAGAGGAGATCTGTCATTTCAGCAGAGCCTTCAACACAGGAGGAATGTAGGTGGCCTTACTGTTATGTACAAGGTCAATATTGTCAAAGTACCACACTTGGATCCACTTCGAGGACAGCGAGAAACAAGCTTCTATACTACAAGACGGGCAGAAAGCAGCAACTTCACTCTGGCTGTACCCTTCTCCAGAACATCACTCCATCTGAGAGTAAATTACTGTTTATCTTTGTGCCTTATTGATGTACCATGTTAATAATTGTATGTACTCTGTATATGTACTGTCATTCTAAATAAAATAAAAAAAAAACTTCATCTAAGATCATTTATCCCGAGCATGACTTGAGTATGGAACACATTCGTACAGCATTATGATGTCAACGAGATAAGCCAGTTGATCAGATGAAAATGCTGGCCCACAGATGGCTCCAACTTCATCCTGTTCCCTACTTGTATGTTTAATAACAATAAAAATGCTTTCAAATGAGCTGATGTAGGTAACAGCTCTTAGCTTGTCAATAAACCTAGGAATCCTTAACCTGTAAATAGCTTCTCAAGAAAGCTTGTCAATAAAGAGAGAAAGAGAGAGAGAGAGAGAGAGAGAGAGAGACAGAGAGACAGAGAGACAGAGAGACAGAGAAACGAACAAAGTCACTAGTTTCTTGCTTCAACGCAAAGGATGTGGTTGGTCTTAACTTCATTAGTAACATAATAATACCACAAGACGGGCAACAACAGTCAGCGCTTATCCCTCTACCTGTGATCTTCTCAAAGCTATGACTGTGTCAGGAAGCTGCCCTCCTCTATGATCAACCCTGACTACCTCCCTTACCCCAGACACATCAAGATTTTAGTGGGTTTAACTCTTCCACGTGAAATAATAATAATAATAATAATAATAATAATAATAATAATAATAATAATAATCATGATGGGATCATGACAGAAATGTTAAAAGCAGGGGGGGATATAGTGTTGGAGTGGTTGGTACTTTTGTTTAATAAATGTATGAAAGAGGGGAAGGTACCTAGGGATTGGCGGAGAGCATGTTTAGTCCCTTTATATAAAGGGAAAGGGGACAAAAGAGATTGTAAAAATTATAGAGGAATAAGTTTACTGAGTATACCACGAAAAGTATACGGTAGGGTTATAATTGAAAGAATTAGAGGTAAGACAGAATGTAGAATTGCGGATGAGCAAGGAGGCTTCAGAGTGGGTAGGGGATGTGTAGATCAAGTGTTTGCATTGAAGCATATATGTGAACAGTATTTAGATAAAGGTAGGGAAGTTTTTATTGCATTTATGGATTTAGAAAGGCATATGATAGAGTGGATAGAGGAGCAATGTGGCAGATGTTGCAAGTTTATGGAATAGATGGTAAGTTACTAAATGCTGTAAAGAGCTTTTATGAGGATAGTGAGGCTCAGGTTAGGGTGTGTAGAAGAGAGGGAGAATACTTCCCGGTAAAAGTAGGTCTTAGACAGGGATGTGTAATGTCACCATGGTTGTTTAATATATTTATAGATGGGGTTGTAAAAGAAGTAAATGCTGGGTGTTCGGGAGAGGGGTGGGATTAAATTATGGGGAATCAAATTCAAAATGGGAATTGACACAGTTACTTTTTGCTGATGATACTGTGCTTATGGGAGATTCTAAAGAAAAATTGCAAAGGTTAGTGGATGAGTTTGAGAATGTGTGTAAAGGTAGAAAGTTGAAAGTGAACATAGAAAAGAGTAAGGTGATGAGGGTATCAAATGATTTAGATAAAGAAAAATTGGATATCAAATTGGGGAGGAGGAGTATGGAAGAAGTGAATGTTTTCAGATACTTGGGAGTTTGGACGTGTCGGCGGATGGATTTATGAAGGATGAGGTTTAATCATAGAATTGATGAGGGAAAAAAGGTGAGTGGTGCGTTTGAGGTATATGTGGAGTCAAAAAACGTTATCTATGGAGGCAAAGAAGGGAATGTATGAAAGTTATAGTAGTACCAACACTCTTATATGGATGTGAAGCTTGGGTGGTAAATGCAGCAGCGAGGAGACGGTTGGAGGCAGTGGAGATGTCCTGTCTGAGGGCAATGTGTGGTGTAAATATTATGCAGAAAATTCGGAGTGTGGAAATTAGGAGAAGGTGTGGAGTTAATAAAAGTATTAGTCAGAGGGCAGAAGAGGGGTTGTTGAGGTGGTTTGGTCATTTAGAGAGAATGGATCAAAGCAGAATGACATGGAAAGCATATAAATCTATAGGGGAAGGAAAGAGGGGTAGGGGTCGTCCTCGAAAGGGTTGGAAAGAGGGGGTAAAGGAGGTTTTGTGGGCGAGGGGCTTGGACTTCCAGCAAGCGTGCATGAGCGTGTTAGATAGGAGTGAATGGAGACGAATGATACTTGGGACCTGACGATCTGTTGGAGTGTGAGCAGGGTAATATTTAGTGAAGGGATTCAGGGAAACCGGTTATTTTCATATAGTCGGACTTGAGTCCTGGAAATGGGAAGTACAATGCCTGCACTTTAAAGGAGGGGTTTGGGATATTAGCAGTTTGGAGGGATATGTTGTGTATCTTTATACGTACATGCTTCTAAACTGTTGTATTCTGAGCACCTCTGCAAAAGCAGTGATAATGTGTGAGTGAGGTGAAAGTGTTGAATGATGATGAAAGTATTTTCTTTTTGGAGATTTTCTTTCTTTTTTGGGTCACCCTGCCTCGGTGGGAGACGACCGACTTGTTGAAAAAAAAAATAATAATAATAATAAATGTTTCAGTGATGTGTATTGATTATATTCTTACGACAAATGGTAATGTGACCTATTCCGAAATTAATGCGTTTAGAAAAAGTGTGTAAGAGGGAAGAGAGAGAGAGAGAGAGAGAGAGAGAGAGAGAGAGAGAGAGAGAGAGAGAGAGAGAGAGAGGGTGAAACCAAACATCCTGAATATTTAAAGAACAGATTTTTGGTGTTGGTAAAGCCCAGCAAAGTCGCAGGAGAAACGAGAAAGAGAGAGAGTTCTAGACCTGAGAGGTTATATATATGTAAAAAAAAAAAAACATGTAGTGAGGAGCGGCATTGAAAAGCGACCTCTGCTCTTAGCAGGGAGTTGGATGGGCTGTTGACTACCTGCTTTCACCACTCTAGTGCCTGCCCGCTGGCTCCGCGTACTTCAAATGGGTTGCTGCGTCAGAGCACCCAGTGTAATCTGATTCTATGATGGGAATTAAGTGAACGGCCTGCCCTGCCTCGTTCATCCGGTGAACGGCCTGACCTTCCTCGTTCATCCAGTGAACGGCCTGACCTACCTCCAGCATCCAGTGAACGGCCTAACCTAACTCATTCATCCAGTGAACGGCCTGCCCTGTCTCGTTCCTCCATTGAACGACCTGCCCTGCCTCGTTTCTGCGGTGAACGACCTGCTCTGCCTTGTTCCTCCAGCGAACGACCTGCCTCCTCGTTCCTCAAGTGATCGATCTGGTCATTTTAGACAGAATTTCACAACCAACAGTTCGGATAGGAGACTAAAGGATCGTTTGTTGTGTTCCTGGATCATTATCAAGTGGAGATGGACAGAAAATCCGTCTAACATTTCCTCTCCGAATTGTGGGTTAGTTATGAATTTTTGCAGCCACGGTATTGTCTTGTTCTTCAAGATGATAGGCCCTACTTATGTAAGGTGAGTGGCCTATTTTGACAAGATGAGTGGCCTTGTTAAATAAAAGGCCTACTTAGGTAAGATGAGAGACCTACTTTGACATCCCGAGTGGCCTATTTAGATAAGATGAGAGGCCTACTTAAGCAAAGTGAGTGACGTATTTAAACAAGAGGCCTACTTAGGTAAGGTGAGAATCCTACTTAGGGAAGATGAGTGGGCCAGTTCAGAGGGAACTTTTGAAGAACTTGAGTCACAACTCACCTAGAGAGGTATAATCCCCTGACCTTCTGAGGAGCAGCACACTGGAGGTCGGGAGCGCTGAGGGAAGTGTTGGAGGCACTCAGCAGCTCTGCCAGCCACTTTAGGGAGCAGTTACATACCATGGGATTGCCCCGCAGGTCCAGGCTCGCTAGCGACCTCCACGTTACCTCCGTCGCAGGCAAACTCTGGAGGCCGTTGGCGCGGAGATCGAGGGACAGAAGGCGTGGAAGGGAAGTGAGGAACCCGTGAGGAAGGTGTCTTATTAGCGGGTTGTGTGACAGTGTCAGCTTGCGCAGGTTAACACAGTGAGTGAACGCCCCGGGATGTAACGTTGTTAGATGAGGACACCGTGAGATCTCCAGGGAGGTGAGCTGGTCCAGGTTCCTGAAGGCACCTCCTTCAAGGCTCTTCAGTTTGTTCCTGCTAATACAGAGCGAGTCCAATGTGAGGAGCGGTGCCAGGGCTAGCGTTGGCACCTCCCGCAGCAAGTTATCGTTAAGATTCAACTTCAGTAATCCCCGTAAGCGGTGGAAGGCAGTTTCAGCGATGAATTCTATGCTGTTAGTCTCAAGGGAGAGCGTTACTAGCTCCTCCGTCCGGAAAGCGTTGGGTTCCAGACGCGTCAGACGGTTGCGACAGAGATGTAAAGCTTTCAGTACCCTTAAATCTTCTAGTGCAGCCGTGGGTACATGCCTGAAGTAATTATCACACAGATCGAGAACATGAAGGCCTTGGCAGCCACGGAAGGAATGCTGAGGAAGAGTGTGGAGTTTATTGTGTGCCAGCAGGAGCACCTTCAGGCCAGGCACGTCCAGTAGCGCCGCGGCGGGCAGCTCCGGAAGTGTGTTGTGGCTGAGGTCGAGCAGTGAGAGGGACGAGAGACCCATCAGTGCCCCGCTGGTCAGCGAGGACAGGTTGTTGTGGCCTAGACGCAGCTCCCGCAGCCTCACCTGCACCTGGAAGTTACCTGTGCCCAGGTTGGACAGCTGGTTGTGTGAGAAGTCCAACTCTTCCAGCTGGTCGAAGAACACGAGAGACTGACCAACGGAAGTGATGGAGTTATGGGCCAAGTTGAGGCGGCGTAGGCTGGGATTGAAGAGTATGGGCACTACATTAATGCCCACACCCACACAGCGGGCGCTGGGGCCGTCATCATCGCAGGAACACCCAGCGGGACAGAACGCCCGCGCCGCGCCCACCAGCGCCGCCCACGCCAGCCACCAGCTCATCATCACTGCAACGAAAAGAAGAAAAAAAGGAAGGCATTACCACCAGCCTCAGAGCCAGGACTGTCATCTACCAACCTTCCTATCTATCTGCTGATCTCTTTCCAATATGCCATTCACGGCAGGGCGGCCCATAGAGGGGAAGAGAGAAGGCTTCTTACTGCACATTGTGTTTGCAACCAAGCCCCCAGAAAACCTTCCTTGACACGACACATGATGAACTCCCCATGAAGGTACCATGAGGAGCCTACGCACGATGCTCGAGAATAAGGCAACACAGAGGGCTCAGGCAACACTCGAGGTTCTCGCAACACCCTGGGGTTAAAGGTACACCCAAAGCACCCAATGCTCACGTAACACCAGGAGCACAGAGAACACCAGGCACCGTCCAGTTCAAGCGTCCACCTGTATATATCCATACCCTAACACAGACACCTCAACCCTTCCTCTCTCTCTCTCTCTCTCTCTCTCTCTCTCTCGCCATCAAACACGACGGATCTCATTTTTCTTCCCCTCATCTCTATACGCACACGCACATACACACCCTTCCTGGCACATCTCTCCTGCACATACTTTTCGTCTCTTGAGATTTCTCTCGAATATATTTTTTTGTCTTTCACTGACACCTGCATTAAACTATCCCAGGTGGCCTGAGACTGATCCATTTCCACTTGAGCTTCAACATCCCCGCCACCTAGTTGCAAGAGGTGGTTTAGTGCCGCTCTAAAGCCACAAGAGAACCAGATGGACATGACTTGGCTTACAGATACTTCAGTTCCAGCATGAAGGGGTTTCACAGCCTCACAAGCTGGCTGCGAGATAGTTTAATCTTGCTTTAGCTCTAGTGGAGGAATCCGCAATGGGGGATGAAGGATTTAGAATGTTCCATGCACACAAAAGGGCTTCACAGCTCCATCAAGATAGACAAATGATGGTCTCAGAGAGATCCGGATCTACTAGAAATCTTCATAACTGTTCCAGCTGTTCGAGTGATGGCGTGAAGAGTGGATGAGAGATGGTCTATTGGGGCCCCAGCTGCACTGGAGAACACAGCTGCACTGGAGAACACAGCTGCACTGGAGAAACACAGCTGCACTGGAGAACACAGCTGCACTGGAGAACACAGCTGCACTGGAGAACACAGCTGCAACAGCTGCACGAAAGGCAGTATGAAAGGGCTCTCAACAACCCGGAACTAACTACATTTTCTTTTTAACCACCGACCGCCCATATCTCCAGTCGTCTTATAATTTATCTTCCTTGACTGTTTTCGTACAGTTCAATGAAGCTACAAAAAATTTCTCTAGTTCAGCTCCTTTCAGTCGATTAATAAGTAGGTATCTATAGTAAATAGGTGCTTAGGTATCTTTTTATTGCTAGGTGAATAGGGGCAGCAAGTGACACGAGAATTTCGTTTACGTCTAATTTCGTCAAGAATGAATTTCTTTTTTTCTGTAGTTGGAAATAATAATAATAAATAATAATAATAATAATAATAATAATAATAATAATAAATAATAATAATAATAATAATATAATAATAATAATAACAACAACAATAATAATAATAATAATAATAATAATAATAATAATAATATAATAATAAAAATAATAATAATAATAATAACATTATAATAATAATAATAATAATAATAATAATAATAATAATAATAATAATAAGAAGAAGAAGAAGAAGAAGAAGAAAAGAATAAGAATAAGAATAAGAATAAGAATAAGAATAAGAATAATAATAACAAAACTAATTGACTCGAAGAATATAGATTCAAACAGAAAAATATGTAGTGCAAATATTATGCAGAAAATTCATAGCTTGGACATTAGGAGGTGCGGGGTTACTATAAGTATTGTGCAGAGGGTTGAGGAAAAGTTGTTGAGGTGGTTTGGTCATTTAGAGAGGATGGAATAAAATAGGATGACTTGGAGGGCGTATGAATCTGTACTGGAGGGAAGGTGGAATTGTTGTCGTCCTAGGAGAGGTTGGAGGGAGGGTATAAAGAAGGTTTTCCATGCGAGGGGCTTGGACATCCAACAAGAGTGTGCTGCGAACGTGTTAGATAATAGTGAGTGTAGGCAACCGCTTTTTTTATGACTTAACGTGCTGTTGGAGTGTGAGCAAGGTAACATTTATGAAGAGATTCGGGGAAACCGGTTAGTTGGATTTGAGTTCTTGAAGTGGGAAATACAGTGCCTGCGTTCTGAAGGCTGGGTGAGGATGTTGCAGATTGGAGGGTCCTTTGCACTGCAGTGTCGGCTCGCCTCTGGCAAGACAGTGATGAAGTGAATGATGGTAAAAGTATTTCGTCTTTATCGGGTCACCCTGCTTCGGTGGGAGACAGCCGGTGTGTTAAAAGAATATATTTACTTTTGTAAGTCCTCGGCAAACGCTGCCTTGATGCTGGTGTTAAATCCAAGGAATTTGAGCCGCCCTCCCTTTCCTCGGACCAATGGTTGATTGCAACTCACTGGAGGAAAGGACACAAACCAACACGCTTCGGACATTTACATGGGATGCTTTTCGGTCGTGGGACCTCGGTCACTCATTTCGAGCAACCGAGGTCCCGGGACCGACATGTGTCCAACAAAGATGACCCTAGTGTCTGTGCACTTGTGTTGCGCCCTCCACGGTGTGTCTACGTGGTGTTGCACCCTCCACGGTGTGTCTCTCCGTAGTGTTGCACCCTCCACGGTGTGTCTCGTGGTGTTGCACCCTCCACGGTGTGTCTCTCCGTAGTGTTGCACCCTCCACGGTGTGTCTCCGTAGTGTTGCACCCTCCACGGTGTGTCTCCGTAGTGTTGCACCCTCCACGGTGTGTGTCTCCGTAGTGTTGCACCCTCCACGGTGTGTCTCCGTAGTGTTGCACCCTCCACGGTGTGTCTCCGTAGTGTTGCACCCTCCACGGTGTGTGTCTCCGTAGTGTTGCACCCTCCACGGTGTGTGTCTCCGTAGTGTTGCACCCTCCACGGTGTGTGTCTCCGTAGTGTTGCACCCTCCACGGTGTGTGTCTCCGTAGTGTTGCACCCTCTACGGTGTGTCTACGTGGTGTTGCACCCTCCACGGTGTGTCTCTCCGTAGTGTTGCACCCTCCACGGTGTGTCTCGTGGTGTTGCACCCTCCACGGTGTGTCTCCGTAGTGTTGCATCCTCCACGGTGTGTCTCCGTAGTGTTGCTCCCTCCACGGTGTGTGTCTCCGTAGTGTTGCACCCTCCACGGTGTGTCTCCGTAGTGTTGCACCCTCCACGGTGTGTCTCCGTAGTGTTGCAACCCTCCACGGTGTGTTCTCCGTAGTGTTGCACCCTCCACGGTGTGTGTCTCCGTAGTGTTGCACCCTCCACGGTGTGTGTCTCCGTAGTGTTGCACCCTCCACGGTGTGTGTCTCCGTAGTGTTGCACCCTCCACGGTGTGTGTCTCCGTAGTGTTGCACCCTCCACGGTGTGTCTCCGTAGTGTTGCACCCTCCACGGTGTGTGTCTCCGTAGTGTTGCACCCTCCACGGTGTGTGTCTCCGTAGTGGTTGCACCCTCCACGGTGTGTGTCTCCGTAGTGTTGCACCCTCCACGGTGTGTGTCTCCGTAGTGTTGCACCCTCCACGGTGTGTCTCTCCGTAGTGTTGCACCCTCCACGGTGTGTCTCTCCGTAGTGTTGCACCCTCCACGGTGTGTCTCCGTAGTGTTGCACCCTCCACGGTGTGTGTCTCCGTAGTGTTGCACCCTCCACGGTGTGTGTCTCCGTAGTGTTGCACCCTCCACGGTGTGTCTCCGTAGTGTTGCACCCTCCACGGTGTGTCTCTCCGTAGTGTTGCACCCTCCACGGTGTGTCTCTCCGTAGTGTTGCACCTTCAACAACACCGTGCCCCAGGCTGTGCACTGCCGTCACCTGCTTCTCACCACTGTGACCAACCACACGATTTCTTCTTCTTCTTCTTCCTTCTTCTTCTCTTAGTTTTATTATGTTTTATTTAATTAATTTTTATTATTAAACACTAAACTCGTGTTCGTCATTTCACCAACACGGAATTGAAACGCTGAGGATGGGGAGTGGGGAAGGGGTGCAGGGTGAACGGGTGTAGGGGGCAGGGTGGCTGGGCGTGAAGGGGGCAGGGGGCAGGTGGTAGTGGGTGGCAGGGATGCACGGGCACGGTGGGCTCGGAGGCAGGGGCAGGTGGGCTGTAGAATGATTGTCCTATCACAGGTGAGTTCGTAGTTCACGTTCCGTTTAAGCGTTCGAATGTGCGCGTGCCTCGCTTAACGGATGTCGAGGGTTGATAATCCACTTTATCCGTAGGCACCTAAAAGGAGGCTGTTAAGCCCGCCTGAGCGGACTGTCTATTAAACCAAGATGGAAATAAGGGTTAATGAGAGTAACAGCCGATTTTTTTCCTCCCACGCTCAAAAAAATCGTAACAAAAAAATTTTTGCTCTCGTGCGGGCAAATAAAAAAAAAAAACATTAATGAGCTGGGAAATTCATTTGGTAAACACTGGGTAAATATGTGGATGCAAACGAGGTTGTTGAACGAGGGTTGGAAGGAAGCCTGGTCGTTCAACGAGATGTTGGAGACGCCTGATAGGTCGTTGAACGAGGGTTGGAAACACAAATTAAAGGTCTATAAATGAAGTTCATAAACAAACTAGCGTTAAGCGAAAGTGTAATCACAAGTTAGCGTTGAACGAGCGTTAAAATACAAATTAGCCCGTCAACCGAAGAACAATCTAGGTCGTACAATAACGGTTGGAAGCACAAACTAGGTCGCTAAACGAAGGAGCGAACACACACACACACACACTACAACATCAAACAAAGATGGAAGCAAGAATTCAGATTCTCAGGTATAACTGAACATCTGCTGAAAAAATTAGGCGGTGGAGTTGAAAGCTGGAAATCTACCTACTTGATTAAGCTGTATACAGAGGGCTGTCTGTCATAAGAGTTTATTTTGTGCCATTTCACCTCTCTCTCTCTCTCTCTCTCTCTCTCTCTCACTCTCTCTCTCTCTCTCTCTCTCTCTCTCTCTCTCTCTCTCTCCTACAATTCTTATCGACAATACGTACCATCCTACATACAATTACAATCGCCTTATATCATAGTTTCTGGGTGATAATCAGGCTGTGACTGACACCAGAACAAACACTTGAACTACCATGTGGACTGACCACACAAATGACCGAGCAATTGGACTACCAAATGTATCAGCAATGAGGCTGACAAAGGCACTAATAATAGTTACAACCAATTACTCGTAACAACTGAACTGTAGTAATGCACTGATAAGTGGACGGAAAACTGAGCTAACAGTTCAACTAACAACACGATTCGTACTTAGACTAACAATTAGAGTAACATTACAATAACTACTGTTTACCAATCCCCCTCCCCCCCCCCACAAGCTATAACAGAATCAAACTTCTAAACACCCCCTCCCCTCCCCCTCCCCCCTCCCCCTCCCCCTCCCCCTCCCCCCTCCCCCCTCCCCCCAGGAAGAAAAGAAAAATATATATAATATATATATATAATCAGTAACTGGATGGCTAAAATTTTACTTATTAATACAAGCATCGCGAATTGTTTTGTTTGTTTTTTTAAAATAGCGAGAGAATAAAAATATTTTAATAAATATACAGACCCTTCTGCATATATTGTTGTTTTGGACGCTCAGTTTGTAAAAACATTTCTGGAAAATTAAATTAGAGAAATGTTTTGATCATTTCCTGCTCTTCAAGAGAGGCGCCTTGATGCCATATATATATATATATATATATTATATATATATATATATATATATATATATATATATATATATATTATATATATATATATATAATATGCGTGTGTGCCTGACTGCTGCAAGGAGAAAATATATATACTGTGCATTATCTGGATTTCTTTGAGCTAGGAAGTGAAGATAGTGGAAACTGGGGAAGGCTGGTAATAGCAGGAGCGAGAGACTTAGTCTAGATTACTACGACCAGCTTGAGTGGATATCAGGTTCCTCATGGCCCAAGTTTGTGTGGGGTCCAGGAGTAGGGGGGCGGGGGGAAGATGAAGGGGAGGGGGAGGGGGAGGGGGAAGGGGAGGGGAGGGGAGGGGGGGAAG